TTCTTGGCTGTAGTCCTATCTGTTTATTCTATATTAGTGTTAAATTTTTACCTTGAAATCTTGCCGACAATCGAACAGCGAACATCAGGTGTCCCCAGAGTGGGCTCAATGAGAGACTAGGACAAGACCAAAATTTGTATCTTTGTTTCTCTGCAGCTCATCGGTCAGGTCATTTACAACAGAAAGGTGGGTCCACATCTGTGTTTTATTTCCTGTTTTTCTCTTTCTTCTTTTCTTTAACTTTTTTTTTCGGGGAGGAGGGGAGGTTTGATTATCAACTAAGAAATTGTTTGGGTGATTTTCTGAAGGTCAGGGATAATTTTATCAGTTAAATGTTTGGTTTTTCTCTAGAGCAGTTTTCTTTTTCTCTTTCGCTTTCGTTCAAAGAAGTTTTGTTAGCGCTACGTTTAATAGTTTTGAGTTGTAGACGTTTATTTAATTTTATTTTATAGTTTACAATTTCAAATTATAGATACACTATTAGCTTATTTTTTTCGGATTTTTTATTATTTTCCAAACGGATCTGAGTGGGCTGACCATTTCTGAAGCATTGAAAGTGCTACACGAATTGCCTTCAGATAATGAACTTGATACGGATTTCGGTACATGTGCAAACATGCAGTATTGGGTTGTGCGTTTTTAAAGATGATGTCACTTTTTTCGTAAAGTACCACCATTAAAAATAGAACGAAAGTGTAAACATGAAATGTAAATATCATATACCCAAGTTACTTTTCTTCCATTCATACGCATGTAATCATCATATAACCAAGAAGAGCTTTTTAAGGCGGTGTAGCGTAGTAGGCTTTCCCATGGCACACCCTGAGTAATGCTAAATCTACTACGGTATTCAGAATTTAGTGTTTTTTAATCATGGGCAAAATCTCTTACTCTTTTACGCGCTTACCAGCAGTACTCGTTTCAGCACTCTTTTCAAAGCTCTATCCATTCAATGTGCCCGCTTCGGGCACACCCACAGAATTAAAAAGGTAAATGCTACCTTCACAAAATTTCACCTGTGCACTCCTCTAGGCCTGATTAGACTGCGTACCTTTTTTTTTGGTCGAAATTCCAACTTTAAAAGGTAGCGTGCAGGAAAGGGTTGAAGAGGAGTTGAAGGCCGGTAAAGAAGAAATAAAAGCGAGTCAAGAAGTTATGGAATTTGGCCAAGATACTGTTAAAGAAGAAATGATATCGGGCCAAGAAGTGATGAAGCTGGCCACGAATCCGTTAAAGAAGAAATGAAACGGGCGCTGAGGAGATGAAGCTGACCAAGCATCTGCTAAAGGAGAGATAAAAGCTATTCAAGAAGATTGAGGCAGGCCAAGAGGAAATGAAAAGAGAAATCACCTGCGTAATAGAAAACAAATTTGAGGCTATGGAGGGCAGAATAGAGGTGGCCGAAAATAAATGTGGAGAAACCGAAGAGTGTTGTCTGTCAAACAACAGACAGAAGAGAGAGTTTCTGTCGTGGAACAACGAATCGAAAGAAGAGTGTCTGCCGTCCAACAACAAATTGATGATAGGGTTTCTGCGGTGGCCAAAGAAGTTAATACTTTGGAGAAATTCGTAGCGACTGTAGAGAGCAGTACCGATGGCTTTAAATTTTTAGCCATGCCTACTCGTTCCTCTCTTAAGCGATCCACATATGATGGGAAGACCTCTTGACAAGTGTATAAGACACAGTTTTCTATAGTGGCGGAGGTGAACGGATGGGATTATAAAGCTAAGGCCTATTATCTCGCGGCTTCTCTGAAAGCAGACGCAGCGGATATCCTATAGGCTCTTCCCAAAAGCCAAAGCTGTAAGCTGACTTCGGAGCTGTATCCGGTGCGTTGGAGCTGCGCTTTGGGGAGAAATGTTTAAAAGATTACAACAGGCTTGAATTAAAATCTCGTCAACAGAAGTCTACGGAATCACTACAGGAGCTTGCTATGGATGTTCAAATTCTATCTAAACTTGTCCTTTTGGAGTGCCCGACGGAAACAAGAGAAATTCTGTCCTCGCAGTATTTCATCGACGACATCAGGGATCCTGAAGTACAGAAAGCTCTGCGAATGGCGGATGTCAAGGACGTAAAAAGCGCTGTAGTGTTCACCATGAAATTCCAAGTAGCTCATCTAGATACGCGTAGAGACCGACACTAAATCAGATCTCCGCAAGTCCAAGAGCCAGTGGATTAAATGGCTGCATCCCTTGATGAGTTAACCTTTTAACTGTCATGCCCGAGATTATCTCGGGCACAGCACTGGTGTTCGAAAATATCACGCCCGAGTATTTCTCAGGGTAATTTTTTTTTAGTGCATCGTATTGTCATACCCGAATATATATCGGGGGATGTTTATTTCGGCTACATTTGGTTTTTCCAATAAAAAAATTTGACAATTTGTGTACCCAAATCATCTGTACAGGGTTCTGTTCAGACGGAGGCGTAAAGGGCATAAGTGGTTAAAGCCGAGATCCGTTGCCAAGGCAACCGTTGTGTGCGACGTCACAAAATCTGGTTTAGGGCTCGTGGCATAGGGTTCAAAGATTTCAATTTTACGCCGAGTTTGGGATAAGCGTCGACAAATCAGAGCGAAGCTAAAACGAAGCGGAGTTCTACAGAAGATTTCGGCATCACAAAACAAGCACAGCGAACGCGGGAAATCAATTGAGCAGGAGAACAGCGCGGGAAAGTTGTAGACACATCCATGCGTGCACAAATTTAGCTTCTCTCGTTGGCCACGGCTTATACACCGTTCTCGCAAGTGTGAACAGAATTCCTGCATTTTATGCCCGTATGACTACGTCTCTATGCTTCTTACACCGCCGTCTGAACACAGCCTAAGACGCACTATGCATTGCGTTCTCTTTAACGTTCTTAATAGTTTTAAATGTAACTACGGATTATACTGTGAACACTTGTACGAATATTTCCTTGGAAAATTCAAGCCTGCTGAATTATTTCTTTTGATAAAAATAAATTTTATTAACCTATTATCGGACTTGTGCATTTATTCTATTACAAACCCGTACACACGCAACAATATATTCGGTAAATGGTTTTCTAATAATTGAAATTATTATCTTAAAAGTAGCTATACATACCTAAACTAGCAGGTACAATATAGATTACATATATTTATTCAATATGCTAATTGGAACGATCGAATACTGAGCAGGTGGCTGTTGAACCCAATATAATTCTTTTGAGGAATTTAATCAGTTGGAATAGAAAAGTTATCTTGCGAATAAGGTCGAAATTAACCGATGGAAACAGTATTCAGGATGGATAAGAACTGAATACAAAACCAAGTCTTATAAGAATGTGTTCGCGGTGTTCCATCTTAGTGTAATATTTAATCTGAAAATATATCCTGAAGATAACAAAATGCGTTCATCATCCAAATATATGATCTGTACATTTTATCTGAATTTGCCTTTTCGGCGCAAAGAGGGAATTCAGCTTTAATCACAATTAACATACTGTTGCTGTTGTTGTTAACCAGTGATGCCCACCGATTTACGCTGTGTTTAAGGCTCCGAAACCTGGAAAGTATCTTACGCCTTACACTGAAATCGAATTCTTGCTTTATAATACACTGGTGTGCAAAAATTAAGGACGAAGTCGAAAAATTAGCATATCAGCTGAACGAAGAGGCAGAGCGGACAGAAAGACCAATCAGGAGATTAAGTAAGGTGATGTACGGTAGCACATGCGCAGATATGCAGGTAGACGTAATGGGGGAGTGTCTGAGTAGTATAAAGCATGTTGTCGGTGTAAGATCAGTATTTCTGGCAAAGAGATTGCACGCCGTATAGCAGTTAAAATCACACCGAGTTGCTGCCTCAGCGAGAAATGGCGAATAATCAATCTGTTAGACGATATCTGGATGCTTTTACCCGAGGTCGAATCATTGGGAAGTTGGAGGAAGGCCGCAGTGTGACAAGTGTGGCTGCAGAGTTCGGAATTGCTCACAACATCGTTTCACGACTTTGGAGACAATTTCAAACAACAGGAACAGCTAGCCGGGGGTTTAGTAGTGGTCGTCCACGAGGAACCACACCCGCAGATGACCGGTATACTGCCTTACAGGCCAGAAAAAATAGGCGGCAGATAGCGGGAGAAATCGCTAGACACACGACACAGGCGACTGGACAACCGATATCGCGTTTTACCGTGGCCAGAAGACTGCACGGTGGTGGTCTGTTTGCACGACGCCCTGTACGGTGTGTAGCTCTAACGCCTGCCCATCGGAGAAGGCGTTCTCTGTGGTGCCGGGAACACCGGAATTGGAGAGACAATGAATGGGGACGAGTACATTTTACAGATGAGAGCAGATTCAGTCTGAGTAGCGATTCTCATCGCATACTTATCTGGAGAGAGCGGGGAAGCCGCAATCATCCCTCGAACATCATTGAAAGGGACAGGTATGGAGGTGGCGGTGTTCTCGTTTGGGGAGGCATCATGCTTGGTAGTCGTACAGACCTTCACATCTTCGACGCAGGTTCAGTCAACGGGACCCGTTATTGTAACGAGATTCTCCTTCCATATGTGCGTCTTTTTAGAGGCGCTATGGGTGCGCAGTTCCTTTTCATGGACGACAATGCACCATGTCATCGCACAGTAGTAGTTAGGATTTGAGTATCCCTGCACCCCGGAAGTGCCGTCGTCCTTCAAAAGTACTTGGATGTAGTAGTAGGCGGTAATGTAGGCGAGACTGTTTGTCATATACTATGTTTTTCTAAAATAGCGCGTTAAATGAAGGATGAGAGGCTTGTAAAAAAAAAAAAAAAAAAAAAAAAAAAAAAAAAAAAGGGGGGGGAAATGATTTAATTAAAATTCACGAGTCGAATGTAATATGCGCATTTGAAAGGGTTGGTTTCAGTTGAGTGGGCTGGGATAATATTCTGCATTGCTAAATTAGGAACGAGATGGTCGCTTTTCCTTGAGAAAGGTTAGATCAAGGTTAAGATTTTGAGGGGGAGGTGAAAGTAGTATTTGATGAAATACGTGTGTTTTGAAAGCGTAAACATCCTGTAAGCGCACAAGGCGAGACTTGTGAAACTTTCACTTGATCATTACATTTCGAAGCGGTGAGGTTGGTGCTATCATCCTCCATAAGGATTACAATGGAAGCTCGTAATGGTGAGTGAAACGTAAGGTTTTTTTTTGTGTGTTATTGTTCTTTTATTGTTAAATACTTTCTGCGATAAATGTTAAGCATAAAATTATAATTAAAATTAGTTTATTTTAGAACGCAAACGTAGATGTGTTGACACGTTGGGGGATGTGCAGCCGTCGGAAGATCTTATTTTAAACCTTGCTCCCGAGGAAGGCGAAACCTCCCGCAAAAAACTCAAAAAAATTAAAATATACATTGGAAAAAATGTTTCAATAGAAACTTGTGACTTCAAAAATGTCAATTATGTTTCATTTGTAAGGGTGTATCCCGAAAACCGCCGCCACCCCCAAAAGATTTAATATAAATATGAATTGTATTGATCGTATAATCGAAGCTTTGGGGGTGATTAAGAGTCACTGTATGTAAAATTTTAAAAAAAAAAAGATATCAAAATGCTGATTTTTGCTGGAAAGCGGTAGTGGAAGTTAGTAAATTAATATGAATTTTATATAATATTGTAAACAAAAAAGTTCCATTATTTATTTATTATTTTTTTCAAATGATGAATTTTATTCAGTTAGCGCAAGCCCACCGAGGCTATTTGCGCACTTTAAGAACAACATTCGATGCTTCTCAGAAAGATCCGTATGAGATATTCAGAACGGCACGCCCTGCCATATACAACATTTTAAATACTAGATCGAGTTTAAGACTCAGGATTTTAATATGTTTGAAAATATGTTTTGAGAAACTGGGGAAAGATGAAAAAGAAATTAATCAGTGTTTTTATTTTTGTTCTCATTGCGAAAGGATTTTATCCTCTAACCAAATCTACGAAAGCATTGACAGATGCTTTAAAAAGATTTTAAATTTGATAGATAATTTTGTGCGTAATGGAAGCGGGTGGAAATAAAAAAAGTTAGAGTACCTTGACTTACACGTTGGAAACTATCGGGAAAATCGCGGTGGTTGTAAAAAACATCGCTTTACCGACGGGATTAAAAAATAGAAAAGCGTTGTTAAATATCAAATGTGGTGACGACAATTGTTTTTTATATTCTGTTGCCGCAAGTGTTTTTCCGAAATCCACTAGAAATCCTCAGAAGGCTTACTTGTATAAAAAGGATATATCACGTTTTAAATTAGGATCCCTCAAATTTCCCTTAGCGTTAGGCGATGTAAAAATGTTTGAAAACCTGAACGATGTATCCATAAACGTGTATGGATATGAGGAAAATGAAATATTACCTTTGCAATTAAGTGAAAAGCGAAATGCGACAAAAAACAGTAGATTTGCTATATTTTCAAAAACATTTCTTTTGTATTCGAAATTTTAATCGTCTATTACACGCAAACGAAAAACGAGTAAATTTTTTTTTGTAAAACTTGTTTAAGTGGGTTTCAGAGAAGGGAAACGTTAGAGTATCACAAAACTCTTTGCAATGAAAACAAACCGCAGAAAGTTAGCATTCCTAAAAACACACTTCTTAAATTTACAAATTTAATGAAAATGCATTATCATCCTTTTTGTGTCTTTACCGATTTTGAATGCCTCACGCGCAAGATTCAAACTGCGTTTCCTTCTCCGCAACAGAGTCATACTACCCCAATTGAACAGCATATTCCTATTAGTTATACCCTAATAGTTACTGACGTGGAAGACAAGATTATTTTTCATGAATATTTTTGCGGAGAGAATGTAATGGAACATTTTTTCACAACGTTGAGCGAAATCAAATCTAAAATTTTGCAAAAGATGAAAGAGTGTTTACCGATGCAGGAGACGTCGGAAAAAAGTTACGATTCAAATATATGTCATATATGTTTGAATCCTTTCTTAGAAGGCGATGTTCGGGTCAGAGATCACTGCCACTGGAGTGATGGGCATGTGAGAGGTCTTGCACATCGCTCCTGTAATTTGAATTTTAAAGTGTCAAACTACATTCCGGTGGTAATTCATAATTTCAGGAATTATGATAGTCACCTGTTACTAAAACACATGCCGAAAAATGTATGCAAATAAAGTTAACATTATTCCGGTGAATTTGGAAAAATTCACCATGTTTACACTAGATGAAATGAAATTTATTGATTCGTTTCAATTTTTAGATGCGTCTTTGGACACTTTGGTGTCGAATTTGAAAACGTCACAACACGAATTTAAATTGTTTAATGCATTTTTTGAGAAAAATCCCCAACGAGAATTGTTATTGCGGAAAGGCGTATTTCCTTACTCATATTTTGCGTCAACATCGGTGTTGGATGAAACTTCGCTTCCACCGCAGAGCGCGTTTAATAATGTATTACAAGGAGAAGCAGTTTCCGACGAAGATTATGCACATGCCACACACGTGTTTCATTCGTTTGGATGTAACACTTTTGCCGATTACTTAGAGTTATATCAAAATACAGATGTTATTTTGCTAGCCGAAGTATTTTTATCCTTCAGACGCACCGCTCTAAAATATTACCAGTTGGATCCTGTACATTTTATAACGGCTGCCGAATTAACGTGGAATGCCGGACTAAAAGCGTCTAAAATTGAATTAGAGCTTCTAGGAGATGTGAATCAATACATTTGGTTTGAAAACCAAATGCGAGGAGGTATTTGTTTTCTGGGTAGACGTTATGCTCTTGCAAATAATCCTTATATCCCCGAGAGTTATAAACCCGATTTACCACACAGCTATATCTTAGCCTTAGACGCAAATAATCTATACGGGTGTGTAATGAGCCAGCACCTGCCATTGGGGGGTTTTTACTGGTTAAAGGAAAATGAGGTGGAGGAGGCGTTTGATATTTTGTCTTGTGTTGAAGACGGTGATGTGGGGTATATTATCGAATCCGATCTGTTATATCCCTCCCATCTGCATGACCAACACAATGATTTACCGCTAGCACCGGAACATTTTGAACTCACTTTTGACATGCTATCGCCTTACGCCAAAACCCTGAGCAAAAAATTTCAGTTAGAGACGACACTTCCATGCAAAAAATTATTACCCAATTTTTTTGAAAAAAAAAAATTACATCGCTCATTATTTAAATCTAAAGTTTTACGTAGAACAGGGTTTAATAATTAAGAAAATTCATAGAATTTTAGCTTTCAAACAACGAGCGTGGCTTAAAGAATACATTGCTTTCAATAATATGAAAAGACAAAATGCGTCTAGCGAATTTGAAAAATCTTTCTTTAAAAAGATGAATAACGCTTTCTATGGAAAAACCTGTCAAAATCAAAATGTTAGGAAACGTATTCGCGTACAGGGCGTTTTTAGTGAGGAACAATGCCAAAAAAAATTAAACAGTCCTCTGCTGGAATATTTTGAAATAATTAATGAAAAATTTTTCAGTTTTCAAAATGAAAAATTCAAATTTGTGTCTAGATAAACCGATTTATATAGGTTTCAGCGTTTTAGAATTAGCGAAGTTGCACATGTATAAATTATTCTATTCCCATTTTAAACACTTTTACAAAGAAAAATGCGAGTTGTTATACACAGATACAGATTCTTTGTATCTCTATATAACAACTGAAGATGTATATAGTGATTTAAAAACAAAAATTTTTAAATATTTTGGATTGCAGTAATTTCGAACCCAATCATATAATGTTTAATGAAGAAAACCGTGGAAAACTGGGATTTCTAAAAAGTGAGACACTCACCCCCATATCGGAATTTGTGGGTTTGAAATGCAAAATGTACGCATTTCATTTCGGTGATACTGTTAAAAAGACCGCGGAAGGAATCAAAAGGAGCGCGCTCAAAAACATTGGATTTGAAACGTATAAAAACGTTTTCGAAAATGCTTCCCTGATTAGGAATTCTCAATATTCAATCATTTCAAAAAAAGCACGAACTGCAAAACGATTTTTCAAAATAAAGCTAGCCTCTCGGGATATTATGACAAAAAATATTTGTTAGATGATGGAATTCAATCATTGTCTTATGGTCACTATAACACGCGTGAAGAAGACATGAATTAAAAAAAATGATGGAACTTTTTTGTAACATTTTATTGTAGAGTGTGACATTGTATTTTTGCAACTTATATTTTTTTATGCTAATGATCGACAAAAAACAAAAATGTGTTTCCCTCCCATAGAATACCCAGAAGATATGGCTTTATTTCAACCAATTTCTTTGCAAGATATGTGTATTCAAACTATTTTATCTTCGATATTATGTATAGCTGAACTGTATAATGTAGAACTGAATATTCCTCGTATGATTTTAAGAGATATAATAGAGAAAGGTCGATTCTGGATTGATTTTGAAAGTAGTTTCTCCTTAGAGAACAGAGATGTATTTTGGGATGAAAGTTTAACTCTCTATGAAAGAATTCGATTTAATAAGTGGTTTTCTAAACAATTTATTGCCTGGTTTTTCTTTGATGATGATGTTATATTTCTTTTACACCTAAAGATTGCACATATCACATTTGTAAAACATGTAATTGTTCAAAATAATGAGTCTAATATTTATTTGAAAAGCTGCAACAAATGTTTAGAATTGTGGTTACGATGTCAAACAGACACTACCAGAACGAAATGTAAAATTTTCAGAAAATTCAATCATTTCTTATGTTATAATGAAAGGGATACCCTTTCTTATATGCGAAATGAAGATAACTGGTGTGAGATATGTAAGCAAAGTCCTCTGTATTTCATTTGCGACGAGAATTCATGTTGCATTTCTTTTGGAAACTTGATACACGAATGTCCCCGAATTAACCATGATCACTGTTATAATAATTGCTATGGAGGTTATGTAGAAAACTTTTCTTTTAACTGTCGAATATGAACAAAAATACTGATACATTATGGCAATATTCTGATTAATCATTTTTATTTTATAAAACACCCTGAAATTTTTGTTGATATGTAATGATTCCATTTATGTTTGTAACAATGTGAAATGTACTTTTTTGTTTATTTGATTACTTATTGTATTATCAATATAACATCTCACATGGTGTAATGAAGATAATGGGTTAGTTTCTATATAAATTTACAACGAAAAATCGTTTTTGATTTCTTTAAATGTTCATTTTAATTTCTGATACTTATATGCGAAATGAAGATAATTGGTGTGAGATATGTAAGCAAAGTTCTCTGTATTTCATTTGCGACAGGAATTTATGTTGCATTTCTTTTGTAAACTTGATACACGAATGTCTCGCGAATTAACCATGATGACTGTTATAATAATTGTTATGGAGGTTATGTAGAAAACTTTTCTTTTAACTGTCGAATATGAATAAAAATACTGACACATTAAGGCAATATTCTGATTTATCATTTTTATTTTATAAACACCCCCTCCATGTATGTTTCGACGAAAAAGAGGGGGGGAGGGAAAGAAATTTTTGTTGATATTTAATGATTCCATTTATGTTTGTAATAATGTGAAATGTACTTTTTGTTTCATTTGATTACTTATTGTATTATCAATATAACATCTCACATGGTATAATGAAAATAATGGGTTAGTTCCCATATTGGATTTACATCGAAAAATCGTTTTGATTTTTTTTAAATGTTCATTTTAATTTTTTGATACCTTTATATATTTTACAACAGTAATATGTTTTTTGTTTCATTTGATATTTTCATTGTATCATGCATACAAGAATGATTATTTTGTATTAAGCTTCTGTAATCCTTTGGAAAAAAAATAAAAAAATGGACCTTATCCAAAAGGTCCGGTTTTAGTATCTTCTTGGAGGAATTTACATTTTATTAATTTCTTCAAGGCAGATGCTTTTACCGGAAAACAAAACAGTGGAATAGAAAAAGGCAGCTTATAAATAAGTGTAAAAGTGTATTATTTATCTAAATATGATATTTTTTTCAGAGACAAAAAAAATTGCATTTGAAAGAAAAAAAATCCTTTTTATTGATCAAATTGTTTGTGTTACACACAAGTGCGATGTAATTCTCGCACAATAGCATCATCATTCAGAATAACAAAGTAAGCAATTTTAATTACATAGCTTTCATCTCTTATACATTCACTTTCATATTCAGTTTTTTTCGAAGAAAAGAAGAAGAAACACAATCCAACATGCTATTATATAATTTACTACATGCCGAAAAAAGAGCTATTTGTTCATTTTGAATGTATAAGTAGCAATATCCATATTGTTGTTGTGGTTGATGGTCAGCTTTATGAATATGCTTGACCACTTCGGCATTCTTCAAAATTTTCAGGTAATGACGATTTCCTTTCCCGCTAGTGTTTTCATCGTAAAGAGCATTACGAATGCAGTCGCTTAGGTTTTTAAAGAAAAAATGATTAATTTTTTCAACGTGTACTTCTTCAACAGGACTGTTTTCGGAGTTTCCAGTGTGCAAATAGCCGTAACGTTCCATCGTCGACTTCTGAAGCGTTAGTGATGTTTTGCAGGAATAACACGCATATTTATCAAAGACACACAATTTTGTTTCTTGGCATGAAAAGCATGACAACAGCGGCGACGTTTGAATTTTTTTTAAAAAATTCCCTAATAAAAATTTCATTTTTTTTCTTATCTTTCGTGCAGAGGTCCTTCAAAGAGTACCCTCTTACCATACAAAATAAAAAATAAAGAGCAAATTTTCCGCAGGATGTACTGGTATCATCTTGAAAGCATATTTTATTATAAAATGTTTTGTTAGCGTTGGTCATTAAAAAGTTTAAAATATTTTTGTTAGATGGAGCAAGACCATAACTGTCGAAGTAATATGCCGTGCTGTTTTTCTTAAAATATATCGAAATCCAGTGGCTCCCAGGTAAAGTATGCGGATCCGAATTCACTATAAATGAGGAGTAATGTCTCTTTCGTAAGGGTATGAAATCAAAATCGGAAGGATATATACACCTCCAAATTTTTTTTGATTCGACTGTCGCCACAGGCATATTGACTGACACAGAGTTAAAGTATCCATTACCGCCTTTGTTCGAAATGAATATTTCTGTATATGCTTTTAAACACTTCTTCGTACACTTGATGTTTCTTTGATGGGAAAATTTCAATAATTTTTTCGGCAAAAGCGAGAAAGAATGCAATGCGCAGGTTCGCTATTTTATTGGAAAACATCATATCGCCTATACTTCGAATTACCTCCTCGCCTGCACCCGCCTCCTTAGCTAGTTCGATAATTTCATTTCCGTATATTTGCAAAACTTCGTCCATGATTTTTAATAATCTGTCGTGACTCCGCGTGACTTGTCTATTTCAATTATGTTCCTGTATTCAGCATAGACTATCAGGGTAACTGTTTCTGGCAAGGCCGCTGCAAATTTGATATCAATGGCTATGTTTCCGCTCTTATTTATGCTTACGTGGCTTTCATTAGATGCCATATCTGGAGTCAAATCAACGGCATATAATGTATACCCATCTTTGTATTCATCAAAGGAGATATTAATGTTGGGGCTTGAATGATATCGATTTAAATCTGTAAAGATGCTTAAATAACTTCGCCCATAAAATGTTTTTTCGAAATTGGGCTGATAGGGTTTGGAAGGTATCATCTGTCCCCCATTTAATATGCATAGGTAGTTTAGGTTATAGTGATGAAATTTAAAAGGATTTCTGTTGATGCTTCCATTATAGGCGGCATTAGATACAAAACCTAGAATGAGACGTGTGGGTAGCTGACCAATAAAAGCGTTTGCTATAGTTGTCGATTGCAAACCGCTCGATATTGCAAAACTTTTTATGTCAATCCTACGAATGGGCATCTTAATAACTCCTTTTTCTAAAGCCTTTTCGTGTGCTATTAGGATGGAGGGAGCCACGCTGACTTTTCTCACGTATAGTTTTGCTAGCTGAATTCTAATTTTATAATTGTCGTTTGCCGACATCAAAGTGAAAACATCTTTATGCCTTTCCAGTTTAATGCGTACATTAACCCCGTTGACTAACAATTTCGGTTGAGTGGCCAAATCGAAGTGCAATGGTCCCACGAGGTCGAGGCTTTGGCTAAGCTTGCAACGATTTGCACGCGTTGTATAACCTTCGTTTTCGTCTCCCACAACATCATGCTTAGATGCAGTATCTTTTGCAAATAAGCCAGCACTCAGTAGATTATCTTGACCTGATTTGGAATAGAACAACAAACTTTCCAAAAGGGCTCTATAAGAATAATTCACTTGTGACGAAAACTGTTTATCCTTTAAAAATATTGAACACTCGGGAAAACAATGTGTTTAAAATATAATTAACAGGTGCCACCCCATCGGCGTCGGTGAGATTGGTATCATTTTTTTTTCATTATTTTAAGTCGTGTGTGTAGTATCGTATGCGCCAAATCCAAATAGTGTTCACCATTACCGCTAATGTAAAATTCTATGGGCGTCTTATCAGACAATGAAGATACGGGGTGGATTTCCACGAAGGAAGAGGAATCGATGCCCAGTTGTACGGCGACACCATTAAAGAGATCCAATTCGCTATATCCGTTAACCTTAATAATAATCTTAAGGCATATGACCCCCTGAGTTTCCATTACTATTAATCTTTATGTAAAAATATCTGCTTTTGTCTTACAACACTTGCTCTTTGATTGACGATTTTTCCTCTTGCGCTTTCTTTTTATACCTTCTCCCCTCTGTAATTTTTCAAAAATATCACTTTTTTATTCTATTAGAGGTCTCACGTATCCTGCTCCGAGCAGAGTCCTTAAATGACGATCCCGCTGCAACATCTGACAAGACGTTCTTTCCTGTTTGCATTAACTGTTTGCCCAAATAACGACCGGCTCTAAGTGCCAACGGCGTAATGTATCGGCGCAAATCTCCAAAAAACCCATAACCTCGTTGGTGAGGTATACCTTGAAAGTAAACACCACCGCCACCACCAACTTGAGCACAATAATAGGATTCGCACTCTTTCTGATTTAAGTGCATTTCTCTAAGGATGTTTTAAGAAAGTGAGAGGAAAGCTTGAAAAATCTTCAATTTATATAGTTTTCTTACGGCGAAAAGACAGGACTACAAATGTTTTTCCTCCCGTAAAGGTAATTTTTTTCCCGCTACTCGTTCTCAGTTCTATTTCTATCGTTTCCACATAGTGCTTTCGCAAAGGAAAAAATATATAGTTTTTTCATAATGCTTCACAATTTGATCATTTTTTTCATTCACGCAGGGAATAACCCTTAGCAGCGGCGGAACATGCACATCTCCAACGTGATGTGATTCGATTAAATCGCTGTACACAAAAATTTCTGTAATGCCCCCGTCCAGTTCTAAAGGATAGTCGCTTATATATTTTCCGCTCTTGAAATGGGTGTTGACGAATCCCAGCATGTCTGCCAGCCCTTTCCCAAATGCCAGCTCCGATTCTGGAGGAACTTCTAAAAACACTTTTGAATTCGCTAATTGTCTTAAATGTACGTGTTGAAATTCGCGAAATAAAGTTTCCGGTGATTTATATACGCCTGCGCTGACATGCAAATGTAAAGTTTCTTTTTCAGTCATAGTTACTTCGGGATATCCTTTAATTATAAGTTCCACAGCTTCCCCCTCCTCCACAGTTAGGGGCAAAAGCACAGGAAACTTTCGCGTTTGCGAAATTATAAGGTTTTCGCGGACGCCGAGTATCCTTAAAAGGGAGGATGCTCTTTCTTGAGTAATATGTTTTCTGACACCTTTATTTCTAGTTGGGACTTCGTCTGATCGTAGGTGAAAGTGACAAAATTTTCCAATTTAAGATCTTGGATATTTTTTGCTACGTCGCCAAAGAGACCCCTAGATACATCTGCTTTTATTAAGGTTAACGGAATCAAATGCAGTTTCGTGCTAGAAGGGCTCCTATTTATGATTGAAAATAACTGATCTTTATTTTCAGCTATTGATCTGAATCTCATCACTTGAGATTTTTTAATAATAGTATCTTCATCTGGTAAGTAAAACATCTGTAACATTTTAGGAGCTTTTCTTTTAGAAATGTGTACTTCGAAACCATTTGCAAGAACCCAGCGAATACTCCTCCCTTCATGTTCTAGAACGAATTTCACAGCGTCCTCTCTACCGAGAATGGTACTAATTTTATCATTCAGTTTTGATAAAAATTCCTCTAGAGAAACATCTGCGTTTACCGAAACTAAAACGCCATAATTAAATGATAAAGTATGGCGTGAAAATTTAATAGGAATGCTTTTCTCCACATTCCTAGTTATTACATAGTCATTATTATACTCTCCCACATTATACCAATTTCGTGGAATAAAAATTTCAGTTAGACCTACTTCCAAGAATCGTTCAATAACAGAGGAGAGGCGAGTTTTGTTCGATAAGATGATTGATTGTTTTAGAGGGAAATACTGCATGCTCGCATTGCTGGGTAGAGTAACGTAGAATTCGTCTGTCATTTCATCCATGACGCTTTCACCCACGAATTAAACCGTCGATCAAAGCCTTTCCACTTGACGAAATATTCTTTCTTAGCACCGACACCTCTCGTTTGCAGAATTTTTTCCACTCTCCAGAAATCGTGAGAACTCTTTAATACTTTTTGTAACTCTTGTTCGTAAAACCTTCCTTTCAGAACTGTTCCTTTTAAATCTTTAAGCAGATATGTCGGAGGACTCGAAGGATATCTCTTATATATGACAAAAACCTCATCCGTCCAACTGGGCAAATAACCTTTGCGAAATGCTCGCCTTGTTTTAGAAATCCTCACCTGGTCATTTACCTCAAATTTGTATCTCGGTTTTATGCTATAGCCATACAGTTTTTCAAAAATTTCACTTTCTAGTTCCGGCTTCACGTCGGCAGGTGCATAACCAGTACTACGATGAATACTCAAATTATAGCTTTTCAAAACTGATTTCAAGACATGCACATACCTGTAGGAATTGGTGTAAGTAAATATTCGATAGAGTTTAGATTTTAGCGTTCGATTAAATCGCTCTACAACACTCGCCTTGTATTCGCTGTTAGAGGCATAATGATGTATTCCATGTCTTCTAAAATAGTCACGAACTTTTTTATTAAAAAATTCTTTTCCCTCATCTGTTTGTAAATTCACCACAAAATTTGTCTCCTTAAATAGCTTCTTAAATCCTTCGAGTACAGAATCTGCACTCTTCGATTTTAAAGGAATGGCATACCCGCGTTTAGAAAACACATCAATTGCTGTTAATAAATATTTTACACCATCGTTATATTTAGAGAGCTTAGACAAATCAATCAAATCGCATTGCATTAATTCTCCAATGCCGAAAGACACAACACCTTCCGTCGTTTGAAATTAAAGCGAACTGGTTTATGTAACGTATAAGCATCCTGTTTCATTAACCATCGACGCGTCGTTTTCAACGGAAGTTGTGCGGCACGAGCCAATCTTACCACTCCGCCATACGAAGCGGGGTTTTCTACATCGTAATAGATATTTTCTAAAATTGCGTCGGCATCGTTTAAAGCTCCTCCCATTCCTCTTTATAAGGTGCTTGACTTTGGGATCTCCTCTTCTTTCCTGCTGTACTTTATATCTCTGCTGTTTTTCTTTTGTTTGATGATCGAAGTCTTTCACATTTGATGGGGGCCATCGAAAGACATTTTCCTCGCCGCTCGAGGATTTATTTTCCGTGAGGGGGGGTAGTGCGATGAGGTATCTCTCATGCGAGACAACACATTCTGATTCCCTATCCATGAGCGCGGTATATTAATTTCTTCGATAGCCTTTAGAAATACATCGAAATGCCTTGGCTCTTGAGCATTTTTTATATTTCTCATTAGGTAATTAAAGAAATCCACCATACTGGATCCCTGAATCGTTTTACCGTCAAGAATCATTTCTCCGCGATCGTTCCATGAATAAAGCCTCGATTTTAATTTTTCGGCGACCAGAGGCACCAATCTAGAAAATTTCTGGGGTGTTGATAGAATAATATCCCTAATAACAGGATCTTCCACTTGCTGGAATCCCTTCTCTTCTTTAGTTTCTTTCGCTTCATTCGCAAGGCTCACACGTATAGGTTCTGGTGGTGCGTGCACTGTTCTGTGATACCGCGTGATTAGTTGCCCCAACAACTTTGCTTTCATGTCGTCGGGTAATTTTGCTCTTTCTAATAACGTGTCTATGTCATCTTCCAATCTCAATTCTGGCTTCTGAAGATGATAAGACGATACCAATTCTTCGGGTATGAGAGCCACTCTTTTGGCCATTGTAGCCCAAAATTGGGATTAAGAATTTTTTTTACAGTCGTTTGCTAATAACTGGTCCTAAAATACCACCCAAGGCAGATATTATTGCCGGAGCAATCAATGGTAAAAAGCCTCCCGATTGGTTGACTAAATTTTTTTTTTCTTTTGTATGCTTTCGTGTTTTTTAGATAGCAACCTTAAGAGATTCTTATATTTTTTCAGCTTACGTACATTAACGGGGATATTTCCATTCAAAATATTTAAACAAACTTCGCAGAGAGATAAAATTTGATCCTTATTTGCAGTCTGTAACAAAGCACGTTTCTGCGATGGGTGGGAATGAGCTAATATTCGCAAGAAATGATACTGCTTTTTCAAATTCTTCTTCGTCATTTCGGACGAAATAACCACAGTATTCCGTCTTTATCTGGAAACAGATTTTCGCGCATCCGATACTCCTCCGATGTTTGAGGGTGTAAGTCAATAACTAAATAACCAAAGGGTTTCGTAGTTGCTTTTATATAAGCATCCGTCAAAAAATGCCAGTTCTGAGGATATAACTGTCGTCCTAAGCAACTAACTTGGGAGACATCTCTTGCATTTTTAAACAAAATGATATAATGCGCATTAAGACTAATGTCGCGCATAACCTTTAAACGAGGGAATAAGTTTTGTAATATCACTATAACGCTGACTTCACAATGGTGTGAGGCGGCAGTAAAAAGATCGGCAATTTTCTCATTTAGTCGATGCATCAGGTCATCGACCACTATCAAATCCCCTTTTTCGTATCTATCCGGAAGACCTTGAATGAATTCAATGTCTGGTTCTTCCCAAAACCAAGGTGCGGAATACGAATAACACCATTTTACTTTTCTGATAGGGGCTTCATATATTCGATTTCGTATCATTTCGCGTACCAACGAAGTTTTACCTGATTGACTCGGGCCAATAACCAAACAGGAACTTGGATGTTTGAATTTTAACATCGCTGATAAATTCCTTTTTTTTTTCTTTAACAAAAATATATTTACATTCATCCAACCGTTTCCGATATCCGAGGACTCAAATGTCTATACATTTTGTCTGCAAAAACTGCATAGTTTCATAAATTCCCCCCTCATCATTTGTACGCCAATTATATCGGCTTTCAACATATCGATATCTTTCCAAAAATAACGTATATCATAAACTGTTTTATTCTCTTTTACACATACATGCAAAAACAATTTTCGACCAATATAAACCGATTCCTTACAAGTAGAATTTCTTAAATCCACTTTCCCTTCACCCCATTCACAATTCCTCATTAATTCTCCGAAAAATATTCCTACGACGACTATTGTTATTGCCAAAAAATAAAACGAAATTTATAATAAAAATACTCCATTTTGTTGCACTCATCTTGCATCTACTACTCTTAATTCTCACTTTCAACTCCCTTTTTATACTAAATATTTCCAAAAAGAAAAAAAAAAAAAAAAAAAAAAAAAAAAAAAAAAAAAAAAAAAAAAAAAAAAAAAAAGAAAACCGAAAATGCACAAGCGAACTCAAGACAACGAACCCAATGAATGACCTGACGTTTTATGGGTTACTGCTGGTCGTCTCCGACCCCCCGCCGTCCAAAGAAGGTTAAAAAAACTACCAAAAAGAAAAGAAGAAGATACTACTTTTAAGAAAATCGAAGGCGTTTTATGAATGGTGTACGAGGGGGACAAGCATTCACAACGTCGCTGCTGTCCTTCACTTACACCATCCAA